TTTGATGTGTGGAATTCCAGCTTACCAAAGTCGTTACGGGACAATGACTCTGTGGCGCAGAAACTTGAATTTTACCTTAATATTTACTTCGCCATATATCCACTGAAATTTGCAAAAGGACAGGTATGTCTTTAAGGTCTAAGGTTATAAAGAATTTCTCTAAGCTCAAACTCAGATCTCTGGTATTTGATTGGTCAGAAACTGCCACAAAATGTTCACTGACCAATGAAAATCCTGGGATTTGGGACTGAACTCAGAAAAAAAGTTTTATAACCTCAAGACCAGGTTTTCAGCCATTTCATTGTTTTTTATACCAATTTCACCTTTATCCCAATTTTATAATCAAAGGATCTTATGCACTGAGTGTAATCTGTTATAGTTAAATCCATTAGAGCCCAATACAAGTAAAAAGATAACCCTTTTATTACATACTGTCACCTGGCTGCAGTAATGGGTTAACTCTTTATTAGCTCATGTGTCAAGGTGAGCTTTTGTGATCGCTTTTCGCCCGGCGTCGGTCTGTCAATCCATTGTCCGTTACATTTATTTTTACTTTTATTTATGATAAACCACTAAGCCAATTTTATCCAAACTTCACAGGAATGTTTCTGTGGTGGTAACCTTTAAAATTGTTCAAAGAATTAAATTCCATACAGAACTCTGGTTGCCATGACAACCTAAAGAAAAAACTTAAAAAATCATCTTAAAAAAAACAAAAGAGCTAGAGCTTAGATATTAAGCATGAAACATCTTCTGGTGAGTGTCTACCAAGTTTGTTCAAATAAAAACCCTGGGGTCAAAATTCATTTTGTTCATAGAGTTTTTATTGGTACAATGTGAGCGATTAATGGCCATCATGGCCCTCTTATATACATATAATATAATAATAGTTAACCCATAACTGCACTCAGATGGCAATACCTTGTCAAAGTTAAACCATATATTCAACCATAACATAATTGGCTTAATCATTTTAGATCAGATTTGAATGTGATACAGATTTTCATCTTGTGCATTTGATAATGCTTTTAATGTAGAAAAATACATATAGGTATATAATAAATATATGACATTTCATCATTACAGACATTAGCTGATAAAAACATGCAGGATTTCAAGACATTCCTTGAGAACCGAGGTGCGACTCTTAGCCAGACTACCGAGTTTCTTCCATTCTACGCTCTACCATTTGTGCCAAACCCTAAAGGTCACCCATCATATAAAGAACTTTTCACAGTAAGTTTTTGTTGTTATTTTTAACTGTTTTTTGTTTTTTATTATGTTTTTGTTTTTTAAATCGTATAGGTCATATCAAGTTCCTGTGGTGACTGTCTGGATTTAAAAATGAATGGTCCTACTAAAAAATTCTTTATGTGTAATGATCTGTTACCTTGGCTACAAAAGACCATCCATGTAATAATAGCAATGATAAACTTCATATTATTTTCTTTTTTTAATTGTAAAAAAGAAAGATTATTAGATATTTTTATTCATGAAAAACAGACTCATTTTCTTCTTATGTTATGCTACTACAGCTGACATGTACATAAAAAATAATGTTATATACAGGTGAATGATATCATTATATGTAGTGAATGATATAGGGTATATCACACTGATGAAATTCAATATGTCATATACATGTATATAGTTTAATCTGTGTTTCATGTCTTTCAGGACACATGGACAAAAGATCTTGAAATTAGACTGGAAAAGTTTTTGACTTTGTCACTGAAGTCAACACCACAGCCCAAGCTCTTTGATCTTTATGTATCCTTTATATGATAATAATAATGATGATGAGTATGATGATGATGATTATGATGATTTTGTAATTATGATAATAGTGATAATAATGATAAAAGTAATAATCATAATAGTAATAATAATATTAATGATGATGATAATTGTAGTAATGCTGATGATAATAATAATGATAATGCTAATAGTAATGATAATAGTAACACTAATAATAATGATAATAACAATGACAATAGCAAATTAATAATAATGCAAATAGTAATTATAATGATAGTAGTAATAATAATAGTAACAATAATTATAATAGTGATAATAATAGTAATAATGATGATGATGATAATAATATTAATGATAATAGTAATGATAATTATAATAATGATAATAACAATAATAAAACAGAATGCCTCTTTTAAGACAATTTTTGTAAATGCTCAAATAAATATAAAGTGATTAAAACTAGGCTAGAACACTTATAAGCCATAGAAAAATTTAAGTATTTTATAACAATATACTGGAATAGTGGCTTAGTATTAAGGATAGAGTTTTGATCGTTTTTACACAAAAGTTTTATCATTGGGACAATCAGGTAGTAAAGTCCCTGCTTAATGTGCTCATACTGTGAGTTAGACAAGTCCATGCTATTGTATTATGAAATTCAAACAAAACCGCAGTGCATGTTTTAGCAAAGTGACATCGTTAAAGAGTACACATGTACTAATAAAAAGAAAAAATCTTTAAAAAAAACCTTCCTGTCAGAAACTAAAAGATCCATAGCCTAGCATTTATCATTGAAGGGTGGGCCCGTTACAAAAAGGTACATAAATCATGACCTTGCTGTCAAAAATGTCCCATACATAAGAACTTTCTATCTAATTTCCTGTAACTCAGCAGAGGAAAATAGTGTATTTTTATTGTTTTTTTTAGCTCACCTGTCACAAAGTGACAGGGTGAGTTTTTGTGATCGCTTTTCGTCCGGCGTCCATCCGGCGTCCGTCCGAGCCAACATTTGATTATTATGAGCTTCATTCCGTAGTTAAATAAAGAACATAAACTCATAAAATTTAAAATTATGAGCTATTTTTTTGTTTTTATGAGCTTATTTTGCTTATGGACGTTGGTCCAGGTGGTGTTTATGAGCTCATTTGCCTCATAAACATCAAATTTTGGTACGTCCGTCCGTAAACTTTTACTTTAAATGACATCTCCTCATAAATAACTAAGCCAATTTCATCCAAACTTCACAGGAATGTTCCTTTGTTGGTCACCTTTGCAAATTGTTCAAAGAATTTAATTCCATGCAGAACTCTGGTTGCCATGGCAACCAAGAAAAAAAAACTTTAAATATCTTCTTCTAAAAATCCAAAGAGCTAGAGCTTAGATATTTGGCATGAAACATCTTTTATTGACTGTCTACCAAGTTTGCTCAAATAAAAGCCCTTGAGTCAAAATTGGCCCCGTCCCGCCGGGGGTCATTGATTTTCCCTATATGCATATAGTAAAACCTTAAAAAATCTTCTTTAAAAGAACCCAAAGACCTATAGCTAAGATTTTTAGCATGAAACATCCTCTAATGGATGTCTACCAAGTTTGTTCAAATAAAAGCCCTGGGGTCAAAATTGGCCCCGCCCCAGGGGGTCATTGATTTTCCCTATATGCATATAGTAAAACCTTAAAAAATCTTCTTTAAAAGAACCCAAAGACCTATAGCTAAGATATTTAGCATGAAACATCCTCTAATGGGTGTCTACCAAGTTTGTTCAAATAAAAGCCCTGGGGTCAAAATTGGCCCCGCCCCAGGGGGTCATTGATTTTCCCTATATGCATATAGTAAAAACTTAAAAAAATCTTCTTTTAAAGAACCCAAAGAGCTAGAGCTAAGATATTAAGCATGAAACATGTTCTAATGGATGTCTACCAAGTTTGTTCAAATAAGAGCCCTGGGGTCAAAATTGGTCCCGCCCCGGGGGTCATTGATTTTCCTTATATGTGTATAGCAAAAACTTAAAAATCTTCTTGTAAAGAACCCAAAGACCTAGAGCTAAGATATTTAGCATGAAACATCCTCTAATGGGTTTCTACCAAGTTTGTTCAAATAAAAGCCCTGGGGTCAAAATTGGCCCCGCCCCAGGGGGTCATTGATTTTCCCTATAATTATGCATATAGTAAAAACTTAAAAAATCTTCTTTTTAAGAACCCAAAGACCTAGAGCTAAGATATTTAGCATGAAACATCCTCTAATGGGTGTCTACCAAGTTTGTACAAATAGAAGCCCTGGGGTCAAAATTGGCTCCACCCCGGGGGTCATTGATTTTCCCTATATGCATATAGTAAAACTTAAAAAATCTTCTTTTAAAGAACCCCAAAGAGCTAGATCTAAGATATTTAGCATGAAACATGTTCTAATGGATGTCTACCAAGTTTGTTCAAATAAGAGCCCTGGGGTCAAAATTGGCCCTGCCCCGGGGGTCATTGATTTTTCTTATATGTGTATAACAAAACTTAAAAAATCTTCTTTGAAAAAAACAAATAGCTAGAGTTTAGATACTAAGCTTGAAACATCTTCTAGTTAGTGTCTACCAAGTTTGTTGTAATAAAAGCCCTGGTGTCAAAATTGGCCCCACTCCGGGGGTCATCCATTTTCCTTATATGTGTATAACAAAAACTTAAAAAATCTTCTTTGAAAAAACCCAAATAGCTAGAGTTTAATTATTAAGCACGAAGCATCTTCTAGTGAGTGTCTACAAAGTTTGTTCAAATAAAAGCCTTGGGGTCAAAATTGGCCCCGTCCCGGTGACATTGATTTTCCTTATATGTGTATAGCAAAAACTTAAAAAACTTCTTTGAAAAAACCCGAATAGCTAGAGTTTAGCTATTAAGCATGAAACATTTTCTAGTAAGTGTCTACAAAGATTGTTCAAATAAAAGCCCTTGGGTCAAAAATGGCCCTGCCCTAGGTGTGTCATTGTTTTTAACTATATGTGTAAAGAAAAAACTTGACCAGCTAGACCTTAGATGTTTAGCATGAAACATCTTCTAATGGGTGTCTACCAAGTTTGTTCAAATAAAAGCCCTGGGGTTTAAACTGGCCCGCTCCGGGGGCCTATATACAGGTGAGCGACTTCAGGGCCATCATGGCCCTCTTGTCTTCATTTTTTAGCTCGACTATATGAAGTATATGGAGAGCTGTCCTACTCGCCCCGGTGTCGGCGTCCAGATTTCAGATTAAAGTTTTGGTGCAGTAAAATATTTTTCATTATAACTTTTTCATTTCTTAAGGTATCAACTTCATACTTCAAATATATGTTCCTTATCATCAACCACATCTTATGCGACAAGACAAGAATTATCCTATTACAATGCTCATGGTGATTGACTGGTATAATGTACTGTTTGAACCACATATGATTGACCATTGATTAGCTTTAACCATTGTGTGAACACAATCTTCGTATTACTGTTCTTGCATGTAAATATGTGACAACTGTCCATACAATATGCAATCTGAAGTCAGCCTTTCACTCTTTAAGTTTGATGCACCGATCTTTGTAAAAACTTATTTTCATATGCCAAAATAATATGCACTAGTTCGGTTCGAAATTCACCAAAAAAAACAACGCTTTTTTATTGGAGCATCGCAGAACGAACAGTTTTTCAGGGGGGGGGGGGGGGGGGGGGGCATTTATTTGCTCTTTTTTCTGCATTTTATTTCATCATTTGTTTTCAGAGATTAAATATATTGTTAATTACACTACGCTACTCAAGGTCCATAACTCTAGTGTGATTATTCCCAGTTTTTTTCCCCCTTGAACTGGGAATTTATGTTAACAACAATAACTTCTTGTCATAAGAAGAAATATATTCATATCATAATTGATTTTTCTTTTCTTTCATTATGAGTTTTGTCATCCTTACTGTGTCCAGTATTTAATTAGTCGAGCTACGCTGTTTCCTGTGACAGCTCTTGTTTGCACTAAGGTCAAATAAGATCTGTACTAAGCTTAAAGGTTAATTATATATTTGTTTTCATTGATATGATGTTGAATACCTTGTAATGCTAATTATATCTTGCTACTTGTCATAACTTGAGATAGTAATAGATAGTTACTGTATATCTCTTGACCTCAGTACAAGATTATTGACTTAATCTTTCTATTTATATGTAAATTATTTTCACAACTAGGTGCCAAGATCATTTCTGAATGACATCAATTAATAACATTTTCTATCTTATGAGATAAACAGAAATCTTATAAAATTCTTATTTAGTCTGGCAAAATAGACTTTTGAAATCTGACAGTTTTTTGTTGTTTGCTTACAGCACTTACCATGAAGTTCTTCTCAATTATTTAATTTTGTGACCTTCAATGCAGTGAAACTGGTTAACTCCTTATATGATTTAATGGAGTTATCCAGTTTCTACACTAAGTTAAAGTTAACAAAATGAGCTTTGCTATACTCTTGACCTGTCAGGGTAATGTTCACAGTTATATACTAGAAATGTCAGGAAAATATAGCAAAAAAAAAACCCAAACAAACCCTAGTATGATAAGTTTATATATTACATTGTGTTTACCTGTGTTGCCATTTTGGAAATTTAATTAAAATGATATTATGTCCATCCAAGTGAATATTGTCATTGAACAGGACTGTAAAATTAAAAGATCTTGACATTTTTCCATCATTGTGTTAAATTTTATATTTAACTAGGTAAAAAATAATTAGTTATCCATGTTACCAACAGGAATTTCTATAGATATTGTTCAGAATTAATTGGTAATGCGTAATTCTTAAAAAGAGTTGGGCAGTCTTTTACTTTAGTTTTTGGTCTGATAGATTTCAATTGTAAATACATGTAGATAGATTCCAATCACATGAGCAACAACTCATGTAAAAAAAGGTTTAAAATGTATACTGCTATAATGCTTCTGAACTTTTCCAAAATAATGGTATGAAAGATATGTTTATATATTTCCTTTAAAGACATGGTAGATGCATGAAATCATTGCTAAATGGTTTAATCCCTACTTGAAAAATAATATGAGCTGCGTCACGACAAAACCAATAAATTGTGCATCCGCACAGACTGATCAGGATCTATGCTGTTCGCTATCAGTATCTCTACTTGTAAAAAGGTTTGTAAGCAAACAGCATGGATCCTGATCAGACTGCGCGGATGCGCAGGCTTGGCTGGATCCATGCTGGTCGCAAACCCATTATGTTGGTTTTGTTATTGCACGTCTCATATATATAACATTAAATATTGTTCTGGAACATTTTATTTTGTTTATGTATTCATCTGTATTTAATATCAGAGACACATTTTATTTTATTGTACAATGTATATTTATATATATTTTCTTTGAATATTTAAAATAAGTAAAATTTATTTTTGATTGATTTTAAATCGAGGAAACATTGTTTTATAGTGAAGTTATCATGTCACCATGTTGTTTTCTTTAACTATATTATCAGAGAGGTACAAGTAGTTCTTCTGGAGGTAAGTTAAATCTTCCGTTAACAGAATTATTCTGTGCTTTTCTCCCTCTCTTGGTCAAAAAGATCCAGGTCTAGTCCACCAACTTAGCTGACAATATTTAATTTGTTATCCAGCAATTATTCCAGGGGTCACTAGTTTGAATCCCTGTGTGAGGTGAAATTTCTCTGTGACAACAGTCATTATATCTCATCTGGCATTGTGGTGTATGGCTTTTTGAGCCGCGTCACAACAAAACCAACATAGTGCGTTTGCAACCAGCATGGATCCAGACCAGCCTGAGCATCCGCACATTCTTATCAGGATCCATGCTGTTTGCTATCAGTTTCTCTACTTGTAATAGAGTTGGTAAGCGAACAGCATGAATCCTGATCAAACTGCACGGATGCGCAGGCTGGTCTGGATCCATGCTGGTCGCAAACCCATGTTGTTTTTGTCATCATGCGGCCAATTTGTTATAATATTTATAAACAATATGGGGTCTCTTGCAGAGAAATTTGTTATTACTTGTTAATTAGTCAGGAAAGCTAAAAAAGGTGGACACACCGCCAAGATATGACCCCAAAATTATGTTAATTAAAAATTAGCTTAAACTTAACAACCATGCAAGAAAAAACTCTGCCTTTCCTTTCTTGATATTTTTTTAAAGTAAATCTTTATTATTTTATTTTGAATTTTGGATATTTGTTAAATAGAATCTTAAAGTAATACAGATTCAACACAAAATTTATTGAACATGATGAATCAAACAATTATGCTCACCAGAGGCTTGGATGATAGGATTTTATCCAACTCATCCAGTTTATTAAGTATCAAATCTACAGTCATTCAATATCCTCTATTTTTTGTTATTGAAATAATATGATAAAAAGGAAGATTAGAAATATTTTGTGAAGTATTTTTTGTAAATCATAGTCATTGTTTGATGCTGTAATGTGACATGTGACAGTTTAAATTGATCAAGTGGTCACAGGTGTTACACACTCTACTTGTGAATTTCATTCAGCCCTTGGCAGCTGGTGAAGTGTCATTGTAAATTATTTGTAATATGCATTGTTTTGTCAGATGAAGTCAGTGGTCACTGTAAAAGTGTATTGAACACAATTACCCAAAAAGTTTCAATGTCAATTCTTTGTTAAAGGCATTATTTTGCCAAATGTGGTTGTGTCCACTGAAGAAACTCAATAATGATCTCCCAGTTAATGGTCACTACATTATTTTGTTTTTCAGATCATTTTCAACAAGTACAGATATATCAGCAACAACTGGTCGAGTCAGAGAGGAAAACAATGTCCTACATTAAACGATATAACAAAGTCCAGGTAAATCATGAGTTTACAATATGTTGTCTTCATAAATACTGTACACCAGAGTTTGAATAAGTTTTGAAGAATCAATGATTGCAGCATGACCTGGCATTCTGTGATATGATTATTTTCTGCTGAAATATGACCCTTTGTTGTCATTTTTCCACAAGTGTAGTATACATGTATATTAGAAAACTCATTTGCCTATAACCTTTCTTATACTTTATAAAGGAATTTCATCCAAAACTTATGTAACCGAAACTGCACAGAGTATTTGATTATTATTGGCAGACTGGGACTTTAAAACCAGGCTTTAATACAATTGTCAGTCATATGTTTAATGTTATGACATATATTGAAAGTTTATTTGACCATTACATGAAGGTTTTAGCACAGAATACTGTACAACCTCTGCATAGCAACACTCTTAAGGAGGCAAATATTTGGGTTGTTATTGACAGGTGTTGCTATAGAGAGGTTAAATCTATTGTGAAGTTTACTTTAGGGAAATTAAAATTGTTGTACTATAGAGGGCCCCTTTGAACTGTACATTTTTTTGTATGAATAACTTTCATTTACTTTAAACTTATCTATTTCCTGAATATATACATTTACATATATACAATACAAATCAAACATTTTTTATATTCAAGAAAAGGATTAGAACAGAAGACTAAGTCTTATAAAAATTTTCTCCTTTTATTTGAAAAGTTCTGTTTTCCATTGAGACTATGCTAGGGAATTGTATGCAAACAAAAAAGCTGGGTTCATTTCTTGAGCTTGCAGTAGTGTATTTTCATTTTGTATTACAAATCTATATTTATGACATCTAGGCTGACTATCATAATTTGATTGGTATAACAGCAGATCTTGTAGATTCTCTCGAACAAACAGTGCAGGGAAAAATTGTAAGTCTTTATGTCTGTACTGTTGTTTTGTTTGTCTTTAAAAGCTGCATGCCTTTAGACGAGCAACACATTTTCAGAAAATCAAACTTTAGAAAAGTACATCAAAAGCTTGAGAGGTGTATAATTATTTACGATCTATGAAAAGCTAACTTATATATTTTTGATAATTTAATTATTCTGTAAATATGTTATAAATTATCATGCTTAATTACTTCATATTTCTTCTCTTACATATTTAGCCATGTAGGCTCTATCTATATATTTACTTTAATACATGTATATGGTTACGAAAAATATCCATTAAAGTGAACTTTTTCCTTTTCTACATAGAAAAATGATTTTTTTTAAAATCTTTTTTTGTTCACAGATAAGTCCTGAGTATTTACAACATTTGTGTGGTAGATTGTTTAATGCTCACATAACTGGGCAGTCTGTAGATATGACGAGGCCGGGAACTGCGGGTGATGCCCTCAGACAATCTATAGCTCCTAGGTTGGTATACATCTTTTATTACTGGAATCTTCATTCCAAATTTTGAATTGGTGGAGCACTCTAATAATGTAGAATAATATTATAAAACATTGAGTCAAAAAAAAGATTTTTATTCAGGACTTTACATATTGCAAAAGTAATTGTCTACTCTTAGTTTGTGTTGGCTTATTTTGTAAAAACTCTTGCATATCACAATGGCTTTTTTTTTTTTTTTTTTTTTTTTTTTTTTTTTTTTTTTTTTTTTTTTTTTTTTTTCCAGTTTCGGGCGCCCAGTTAATGGGTAACCCCATTTTTTTCCCAGTCATTGGCATAATAGGGGTCGAGGAGCATCCTCCTATCAGCCTTACAATAATATAAGTATATATATTTGATTTCTTACAAAATAAGAATCATTATAGATAATGTGAAAAATATACAATTCGCAAAACGTATCATTTACTTGTCCGAAAAGCGAAAAATGACAAGGTTGAAAAGCGAGTTAACTCTTTATGAATTAAATCTTTAATTTCACTTAAGTTGCTTCCCATATATTAAAGGTAATATTCATACAAATTACAAATATTTTAAAAATTCTGTCACTGAATCGTTTTTATTTCTACATTTGTATTCAAATTGGTATTTTATATCATTGAACAAATTTCTTAACAAAAATAGGTATTGGTTGATATAAATAATTATGCTTACAATTGTTACGATATTTCCATATTGCCCATTTGGTTTCGTATATAACAGTATTGATCAATTTATCATTCATTGCGTGTTCAAAAGATCCAAAAAGTGCAGTAGATTGGAAATTTGAAAAATCATTTTCCAAAATTTTAACGGACTTAAGTTTTCGAATTACATATGTCCAAACATTCTTAGAAAAATCACATTCTCAGAAGAGATGAAACAGAGTTTCTCTGTGAGATTTACATATACAACATTTACCGTCAGATAAATTCATAAGAGACAGCTTGTATTCTATATAAATAGCATTTTGTAAAAATTTCCACTGAATTGTACAGCTTTGCATGAAGAAAAAAGAATCATAAACGTGGCACCATATTTTACTCCATGGTAACTCCATATTAAGAAAGCTTTCCCATTTTAATTTACAAGTCTTTTGATTCCATATATGAGATATTTGTTTTATTTTAATATTTTCAGGCAATATTTTTGTTTGCGTGCTGCTCATGAAGACAATATCGACAAAGTGAGTGTAATTCGACACTGATCATAATCGTGGTCTTTTAAAGCAGTAATATACAATTAAGGAATGCTGCTTGATTTGAGCATATGCCATTCGGCAATCCAATTTTGCGTACATTTTAATTTCCTTAAAAGAGTGTCTATGCTAATAAAATTATTATTTTCAAAGTTCCAAATATCTTTTAAAAACAATAGATTACTTTTTTACAAATGAATTGAAGCAAAGTGTTTTCTTGCGAAAACGAATTTCAGTGTTACAAAAAAGAAAATATATCTTTTACATCGGACAGAGACTTTGGCTTAAACTTCGCTTTAAACCGACACCAATTTTCGAGAGCGGAGTTGTAAAACGTACTTATGTTCAATTTGAAAGGTAAATTTTCTAATGAAGAACATTTACACAGAAAATAATCAATTTTATTTTCTCCATTAGTATCATATTTTTGTAAAAAATATTTTCCTATTGCGTTCCAGTTCTGTATGTCTGAGTGTATAATTTTGTATATTGTTTTAACATCCAAACTGGCTTGAATATTTGAAATATTACAATAGTTAAGACCTCCGTCTTTCAGGTCAAGGAGAATTGTGCTTTTTGAAACTAACGGTCGCTTATTGTCCCAAAGAAAATCGCTCATAATTTTTTCGATTTCTTCTAAGTATTTTGTTGGTATACCGCGCGTTTCAATTTCAAAATTAATAATAGAAACTACATATGTTTTCAGAATAAGAATTTTCCCTTTTAAAGTCAGGCCCCGAGCTTTCCATACTTGAAGACAATTTTTAATTTTGTTTATCTTTTTCATCCAAATTTCATTCGTATCTATATTATAGCCGTGACAAATTCCTAAAGTTTTAACATAATTTCTCGTCCATTTTATATCTTTAAAATTTCGGAGTCCTTTCTTTTGATTTTCCAATAAAGATGGCTGTTGTTTTATCCTTATTCATTTTGGCCCCAGAGGAAATTTCATATTCTTTTAAAGTATTAAATATTTCTGGAACTGACGACTCATTCTCACAAAAAAATTGTGTATCGTCAACAAATTGACATACTTTTAATTCAAGCTCATAGCCATTTAACGAAGGCAATTTAATGCCGTGTATATTAATATTGTTTCTGACTGCACAAGCCATTGGTTCTGCTTGTAGGATATAGAGAAACGGCGCTATTGGACAACCTTGTTTAATAGAGCGGGAAATTTGAAAATATTCAGAAATAAACCCGTTTGTTTGTATAGCTGTTTCCGAGCCGACTAAACACATTTGAACCCATTTTCTGAATTTGTCTCCTATACCATACCTTTTTAAGCAGATATCAAGCCAATCCCATTCTACCCTATCAAAAGCCTTAGTTTGATCTAAAAAAATTATAACACCATCTTTCTTTTCTAGATCAGTGTAATCTATTACGTCCTGTATGAGTCTGTTTGCCTCTGAAATTTGTCTACCCTTAATAAAACCTTTTTGATCTGAATGAAGCAACTTCGATAATAATGGTTTCAGTCTTTCTGCTAAGCATTTCGAAATAATTTTGTAATCGACATTTAGAAGTGTAAGTGGACGCCAATTCTTAAGATCAGATCTATCCCCGTTTTTATAAAGCAATGATAAAACACCCCTGTGCTGTGAATTTGATAAGTTATAAGAACCAATAATTTCTAAAATTACTTCAAGAAAGTCGTTTTTTATTAAGTACCAAAATTTTTGATAAAATTCTGCAGTGAGGCCGTCCTCACCGGGGGATTTTGTGAGTTTAAAACCCATAATAACCTTTTCAACTTCCTCCTCCCGAAAATCTGAATCAAGGGCAAATTTCTCATCATTATTTATACTAGTAGTTATATTAGAAACCAATTTTTCTGCCGAACAGAGATCAATTCCTTCAGAAGAAAAAAGTTTCTTGTAGAATGCACACTGTTCTTTTAAAATTGAATTTATGTCGCTTTTAAGTTTTCCAGATTCGGATTTTATTTGCGTCCATAATTTTTGCTTGCCCCTCTTTTTTTCTAAGTCGAAGAAATACTTCGAAGAGGTTTCATTTTCAGCAATGTGTTTGGCTTTTGATCTAATTTTGAGTGCTTCGAGCTCTTTCTGATAATAGAAAGTCAATTCCTCTGATAATATTTTGATTTCAGTTTGGGCCTCGGCTGAATTGGTTTCTTTAAGCTTTGTGATTTTTTTCTTCTATTACTTTAATTCGTCTTTGTGGTTTTGAAATGTGTGTTTGTATATTCAATTGAAAGCGTTTTAATTTTATGTTTTGTCATATCCCACCACTCGCGTTTTGAGTTAAAATTAGCTTTATGTTTTGACCAATCTTTCCAAAATGTTTCTACGAGCTGAACGTATTCAATATCTTTTAAAATACTTGCATTCAGTTTCCAGAGACCCGGACCCCTTTGAACATTATCGATTTTTAAAGTCAACGAAACAAGATCATGATCTGAATGTATAAAATGTTGTATTTTTGGACTTGATACTTCGCTATCAATTATTTTTGAAGTAAGAAAATAATCGATCCTTGATTTTGACTCGTTTCGCCTAAAAGTATATTGCTTAATGTCAGGAAAGCGTTTCCGCCAAATGTCTTCCACATCTAACTCACGAATCATTTGTAATAAGTCATTTAGACCATCGTCTGCTTTATCATATCCATTATTACCGCAATATTTTCTATCTAGTTTAGAGTTTAAACAACAATTGAAATCCCCGCCAATTATATGCGTTTCAGTTAAATCCATTAACTTATTCGAAAGTGAGTTAAAAAATCTTTGCGCTCCGTTCCATTGTTCGGGGGTACACATTCGTTAAGCGGTAAACTTTCTCATTTGCGCACAATTCAAGCGAGATGTATCGACCCCCGTCATCTTTTTCAATGTTTTTTACCGGTATTGATAATAACGGTTTTTATCAAGATCGCTACGCCTCGGATTCCGTTGTTATTATTACACCAGTAAAAGTCGCCACCCCATTGAGTTCCCCAGAGCTTAGATTCGTTATCATTTTTGCAATGCGTTTCTTGTAAAAAAATAATATCAATTTTTTTCATTTTCAACCATTGAAATATCAGAGACCTCTTCTTGTTATCTCTTAACCCGTTTACATTAATAGATGCGATATTATATGACATAGTAAAAAATATGATTTTTTAAATAAAATAAATCCATGATATTTTTCGAGATAATATCAAACAAGTAAATTACATCTGTATCACCGTTAATCATTATGACTGGGTCTTTTAGTGAGTGTACTGTTAAAGTGTGCCACTCTGATCTGTTTTTCCATTAATGAAAAACGCAGTCATACTGATGTACAATTGGTCTGCACCACATTTTGAAATATGAATACCCGTAGGATCACTATCATCATACAGAGATGGGACTATTTTATTGTTTTCTTTGAAAATTTTGTCATTGTCCAAAAAGTGATATCCATTACTTTGACAAAATTGTAGAATTTTTTGATTTACAAATTTTGCATCAGAATTGATACGCTTGACTGCAGCGCTATTCCCCATTCTCGGAATGATGCTAGAGAACGCAATTGGACAAGTTGGCCACTTTTTATTGGCCGCAGTAAGTGCATTTTTTGCTTTTTGTAAAACATTATTTTTTACATTCCTACCAATATCATTTGTTCCAAGATGGATTATCAACCGACTTACATTATTGTCTTTGACTGAGTCAATCACGTCTTCACAATTGTTTAATGATAATCCTGGTACAGATTTATTTTGAATATTTTCTTCAGTTATATTGAGTTTTTTCGTGTTTGAGTCCCCAATAATGTAAAAAGATGTATTCCTCAATCCAGGTTTTGAAGATGTATCTCTACATGAAGTTGGAATATCCAATAGGGATGGGGATTTTGGAGTTTCGTCGTCCGAGCTGTCGGATGTTATAACTTGAGTGTCTGTTTGTGAGATTGTTGAAAGCCACGGGTTCTCATCTACTTCGGAGGCGTATCCGCCATGATTCTCCTTAGGACATTCATTTTGCGAATGACCTTCCTCATTGCAAAATCTACAAATGATTTCGAACGGACAGTCCTTTCTTTGATGATCAGTTCTTTTACAATTGTAGCAAAGTTTATTTCGTTGATTTTCAATTTGAGGAGGATTGTGTCGTCTATCAGGCTTGTTTTGACATTTAAAGTACGGATGAGTTGTAGAGCCACAATGTTTACATTTGGTTCTGTTGTTGTCAGCGAATAGTCTTACGGTAAATCTACCGATATCTAGTTTGTGTGGTAGTAACGGAACACAATTTAAGATTTTTAGATATCTTGAGCCGTTCTCAATGTCCGTGCCCTTGATTTTTCCATGTGAAATACTATTTTCGATTACTTCTCCGAATTGAGACAGTACTTTCATCAAAACACAATCAGGCATTTCATACGGTGCATCTTTAACGGTTACACTTGTGATGATTTTGTCCACGTCTGTTATGTAAATATAACGGTTTTGAATTCTCAATCCATGTAAAATGACCTTGTTTTTGATTTCTGCTGAACTCAATGTGATAATACATTCACTTTCTGTTATTTGTATTGATTTGATATCCTTTTTATCAATAAATGTGGTTATTGAAGATAACACTTCATCGTGTGAGATTCGATTTATGAATTTTGTAGAAAAATGCACAGATAATGGCCTCGACATTAGGTTTTCTTCTGAGTCCGCCATCTTGACCAACAACACAATTTCGCATATCACAATGGCTTAGTAGTGTTTGCACCAATGCTGGATAATATTCTGGTACACCACATATTTATAAGATGAATATATATTTTTGCAACTATGTCATTCTGTCACCATTATAGAAGTTATAACATATGATTGTAGATTTTTAGGTTACTATAAGAAATGTATGCCAAATAAGATTATTTGTTCTCGTCATTCCTTTTCAAATTATATATAATACATAATAGGCAAAAAAAACCCAACAAATTACATGCTGGTTGCTAGTACAGGAAATAATACCCTGCTCTTGGATAATTGTTGACCAGTAATTCAGTAAAGACTTGTTGCCACATTAGACAATTATTTTCAAGTCATTTATTCCCATCTATACTGGGAGCATGTGTAAGATTCTCATATCCTTACACTGGCTGCTTATTTTAATGACTTAAATTGAAATCCTTCAATGGATTGTTCTGAATTCAAAAGAGGATAAGTCCATCATACAAAATTAGCAGAATCAGAGTTAAACATGAATTAAGTGCATATAAAAACAATTAGGCAGAATAAGTTGTATAATTGGATGTATGAAACGTTTTACTTATTATCTACAAGTCTGTATTAAGTATATTGTATTACAGACAAGCCAGTAAAATAGAGCCAATCGAGGAGGTTCAGGTTGTCCTGGATTATGAGAAAATCAAACAAGATTTACAGACAACTAGTGAACGTAGGAAATGTTTACTGCTGCAGGCTCTTAGATGGGTAAGTTATTTGACAAAAAAACAATGCTGGGAAACTGTTAGAATTATTGTCAAGGTTTGGATGTCATCTTGTGCTGCTATGAAAATTCTTATGTGAAACTGGAAATGCCAAGAGCTTAGATAATTTGGCATGTAGACTTCAGTACCTTACTATAGGTTTCACTTTGCAATTAAAATGAAAACTCAAATCGCAAAAAACAACAACACTTGAATAGCCTTAGGGCAGAAAATTTTGGTTATCCTATGTAAACATAATAAGGCAAGGCTTTGTGGTAGAATAATATGTCATTTCATTCAAAATTACCTGTCTTGTGTAAATGATGTTATACATAATTAAATTTACTTGCCTTAAATTTCCTAAAATTAAAGAATAAGAATCCGTACAATTTCTTAGAAGAAATAAAAGATCTGTTGGTAATGTGAATTTATTTGCTATATAATTTATGTTATATCATATATATTGTATAGTATATAAGTATATTGTATGTTTTTATACATTACAGAGACTTACCCAGGCCAATCCTCTGACAAGAGATAGTAATGTGGGGTCATTTATACAACATGATTTACTTGGTTGTGCTACACCAGGGCAACATAGGGTATGTATCTTTTATATACAATGTCTCACATATATACTTTGTATAGTGTTGCCTCAATTTTAGATAAGTTATATTATGATTAACCTTCATTCTTAAAATTTATGAATTAGATTAAGACAAGTTTAGTGCCCATATTGTCTAATGAGAGCTGATACTCTTTCATGACTGTCTTTCCAAGATTGATTTTTATTAAAGGAGTTGAATTACAGTGATGGAATACAAATCTGTGCTAAGTACATGTAAACAAAGTTAATGTGATAAACATAGAATATATCACATATAATTCAATGTTGAACAAAAAAAAAGAAAGTAAATTACCATGTAACTCAAACCAGTTGGAGTGTCCATGGTCAAGTGGTTAAAGACGCATACTCCAAATTACTTGCCTATCACGACTGTTGGTTTGAGTCCTGTCAAGGACTTGGGATTCTTTCTAGTTTATGAAGGGTCAGTGGTTCTACTATGGTGCCAGCTTGTTCCTGAAATATACACTTATTAAGGGGCACCAGAGGTTTGCTCCACCAGTAAAGTGTAAATGTCACCTTATGACCTTTACAATGTCAGTGTAATCTAAAATACAACAAAACAAACAACTTGTGAAGATATATTGTTTTATAACCTATTTATAATATACAGATATATTTGTTACTTTGGTTACAGGATGCTGTTTTGTCATTGCTCACATCAAATGATGCTGTTGTGAAACAATGTGCTGCCAGATTATTTAATGCATTTGCCTCCCTTAATTCAGGTAATGTTATATTTCAGTTAATACATGCATAGTTAGTATACATGTATTTTATGGTTATTATTTGTATCTTATATCACACTGATGTCAGTTAGTGTTGATATAACCAAGAACTTCAAACATTCTTTTAAAATCTAATGTGCTTCAAGTAGATAGTAAATAGAAATACACATACAGACAAAGTTTGCACATTTTATGACATTTTGGTGGAAGGACAACCTTAACATTATGTTCGCATACATGTACAATATATCACCTTACATGTATTTGAATATACAATTTTATATCAGATAAGAAATCTATTGTGTATGAGGTGAATTGATTTATTTGTAATCTTATTTGTTAGACAATTTAAAAATGATATTGTTTATTGTGCAAATTTGCTAAATAAACAAAAATGAAAGGGCATTTTGATAAAGGTTGAAATTTTGATCAATTTCATAAGGTTTAAAAGAAAATTGTTTTCAATAACAGAACAGAACCCTAAAAAGGGCCTTTTCTTAAAGAAATTTTTCCTTTAAAATCATCATTTTGCCAAAAAAAATGAGCTTAATTTAAAGTTTTTTACTCCCCAAAAAGCAGTTTTTTGAAATCAAGGGGGTAAGGCCCCTTTTTCCCTCTTTGTTGAAAAAAACACTGGGGAAAAAGAACTTGGGCTACATATTACATACAAGGTTTACCTTCAAAAAAAGTTTCAAATTTTTTTTAAACTTGTGATTGTATAAAAGTAACATTTTAAATTGTTATATTTTTTTTTTTTATTCTGTTATAGGGGCGAACAATTTCGCCCAAACAGACTTTTTAAAGGGTTTATGGACAATCTTTGAAGTAAACAAAGATTTTATAACAAAAGAGATGGGGTTGGGGCTCACAAAAACTTTTGTTTTAAAGGAAACTTATTGTTTTTTCTGCTTTAATGTATTTTTGTGATTACTTTTAAAAATATTTTCAGAATTTGGGGTGATTAACTGATTTTAACATTCTTTATCATTGTGTAGGTAAGATGTTATGTTACTGTTTTACCCAGCCAATTACAATTTTGTTGAATCATCATTTATAGATGTAATAAATGACATAAGCACAATACAATTCTTGTTGTTGCTTCTCGTAATGATGTTTTACTTTAATTTAACGACTAGAGAACAAGCTTTGAAATGGTATCGTTTCAGAAGTTTCAATGGTTGTGTGTATAAATTTTGTTGGCTAAGATTACAGGCATTCTTTATTTCAGAAATCCACTTGTTCTTAAAATAATAAGTGCATGTTTGTCAAATCACAAATAAGGGAAAAAAGGAAAACTTGTTTTATATTTTCTTATCTTAAAGTTTTTTAATGCATTAAAATAACAGCACAATCCAATTTTTACATTTTTATGTAAATTTGCTGACTTGCTATCTAATTGCTACACTGGGATAATATATAATCACGGGTTGCCCAGGTTTACACAAAAGACAACATGGTTTTGTTTGTGACACTGTTTTTAATGAATTGACTTAGCATTGAATACAAAAGTCAGGGGGTAAATTTTTCAGTGCTAAGGAACTGGAAAGGCCCATTATCTCAGCTGTTAGATCAAAGTCATATTTTTATATTTATACAGGCGTCAGTTACAGACTTCTATGATAGAGAATGGGTTGATAGAGTGGTTGGTGAAAGTGTTAGAAGATAATGATTCATTATCAGATTATACACTAGAATATTCCGTAGCATTATTGATGAACCTGTGCCTTAGAACATCAGGTATGTCTGTAGTTATATATGTAATGAATAAGAAAATAATAGCATTAGTCAAATGATTTGTTGAGCATAGACTTATCTTGTGGTTAAAGGACCTCCACTGAGGTTATAAAGTTTAAAAACCTGAAATTTTTATTTTTTTCTTAGAGCATTTGGAGCACTGAAAGCTGAATAACTAGAGAACTGAGAGCTGAATAAACATGTAAAAGTTGCTTTAGAAAATATACCCAGAATTGAAGAATAAGATCTTATCTTATTTGTGATTTTTTGACCAATTTGTGTTAAAAGTTTTTTTTAAATGTTTGTGTTTTGTTTTGCACAATTAAAGTATTCTGGAAAAAAAAAACAGGAGAGAATGATCTAATAATTTTAATAATATACTTGTACAATGTACATATACATAACTGAATCAATAACTGAATCAATTTGAGATATAATTTTGTTAAAAAGATATGCAAATATTTTATGACATATCCTAAATGTTTATGTACTACAGGGAAAAAGAGATGTGCTCCAAATGCTAATCAAACATTGAAAGTACTCAGTGACCTTCTAGGACATGATAATCAGGAGGTGAGTCATTAAAATATCCCATAAGATACTGACATGTTCCTTGATAGACTTAATGTGTCAGTTAACCCTGAAACTGATATTGACTAGCCTTTGCTACCAGTATAGAGTCAGGCCAGCCTGCATATCCAAGCAGTTAGGAGTGTTCATGGTCAAGTGGTTAAGGTCATTGACTTCAAACCACTTGCCCCTCACAGCTGTGAGTTTGAATCACCAAAGGGACTTAGGATTTTTTCATGTGAGAAAGCTATGCAGCTAGCTTACGAAACGTTCGTGGTTCTACTCAGGTGCCCGTTTGTGCCTGAAATAAAGCATGGAAAGCTACTTGAGGTCTCCCTCCACCAGTAAAGCTGAAAAGTAGCCATATGACTTCTACTGTGTGGATGTGACTAAAGACACGACCCCCCAAAAAAAGAAGTGAAAAAGAACATCCAAGCAGTTTGAACAAGTTGTAATGTGTAAAAAATGCACACGAAAAAAAGACAAGTAAGGGGAACAACTACAATGAGACTAAACATATGCTATATTTGACTAGCCTCCCTTTGTCTTCCACATTAAAGTTAATGTTTCTATTATACATTGTAGATCCGTCCATATGTAAATGGTGCCTTATACAGTATACTGGCAATATCAACTATCAGGGAGGAAGCTAAGGCCATGGTAAGTAAATTATAACACATTTAATATTATTTTACACTATAGTATTTATAAGATATATTGATACATTTGTACTGTCTGATTTATACATGTATATTGTAATGTATGTATGTTATATATTATGTATTATGGGATTATTATACATTGTTCAGTACAATACTGAAATCTATTGGATGAGCCACAGCTGTCAAATTTATATTTAAAAAGGGGCTAGCCGAGTCTAATATAGGCTTTGCAGTTGTATACGATACCAATAGAATCAGTATTGTACTCAACAATATATAATGATATTATTATTTCACACCACCAATGCTTTCACATAATGATTTGATACAGATTTTTTGGACTCAAAAAATGAAAATGAGACTCATTTAATAGATTGGATCTTAAAATTATTTATGTTTTGAGAACACATATTGCGAATGCTAGAAGTTCATTGGTTGGAAAAAATAATTCTTTACTCTATAAGATTTGACTCTCCTGAAATAGATAAACAGCAAGCACATTTGGCTTACAGTTTACCAAAACCTTTACTTATGCATCTCATGGTCATCAAACTTATAATCACCTACTGAGCTATGCTGGCTGCTAGTTAGTTTAATTTAAGCATATTAATCATGCATGAGTATTATGAAATTTGAAGATTTTTTGACACCATGCTCTAATCAGTTTTATGAAACTAACCAGTACAATTTATTTTAGCTTGATTATGATAAAAGCTTGAAGCTTATGAGAACAGTCAGGGAGTCTGCTTCCTGGAACTAATCAGTACTGGTGTCATGTGAGGAAACATGAATTTCAGTAAGGCTCAAACCCACAATTTCTGTTATGAGAGCCAGATGCCTTAATGAGAAGGCCACTGCTTTCCTTGGCTAGCTATATGAATAAGTTGACTTAATTGTGACCTATTAACTGATATTTTATAGTAATATTTGACTTCTGTATTACAGGGTATGGAGGAGATATTAAGATGTTTTATAAAGGAAGATCAACCTGACATGAACAGACAGATAGAATTCATCATTAAACAACTCAACTCAAGTTTGTTCCTTTCTCTTTTATTAGCTTGTCTGTTTCAACGAAAAAGTTGTGCTGTTATGATAGTTGCAGCATTGTCGTTGTGCAGAATCTTTAATGTAGCCCATTATTCAAATATTTTAAAAGTTATCATCATGAAACTTATAGTACCTGCTGATAATGACAAGATGCAGTTGATAGACAAGGGCATAATTCTGAAAGCAATATTTTTTAAGTTATGCCCCTTTTAAACTTGAAGCTTATAACAGACGAGCATTAACTTTGCCTGCAGTGCTCTTGTTTTCTTAATTGTAGTATAAAACTATCTCTGTACCTTATAAGTACAATGTATATAGTTTTACCCTTTATTTATAAAAGATATTACAACAATGCTCATGTCATTGTAAAAAATGAAAACAAAAGAACAGTGGTAATAGAAACTGAGACAGAATCCTTGTTTGTAAAGGTGATTAAACAGTGACTTGTTTGCTATTTGATCTGTTATAAAACTAAAAGTATTGACAGTAGATTTAAGCAAATTCTTAAACTAGTATTAATGGTTGAAAAAATGTAATAAAATGTATATATATATATTGTAGCTGAAGTTGTAGATGAGTATGAATCTGATGATGAGGAGGAAGATGAAGATGAGGTACAACATTTTACTTTATTTATTGTTGAACATTAAAATCATATAAAAACAACTACATTGTACTTGGTTTTATGACCTCTTTCCTTATATAAATACTAATATATCATTACAGTAATAATTAGAGCTGACATTGCAAAGCATATGGACGATACATTGATATTGTCTCTATCGATGACAGCTCTAGAAACAATACAAGTGGTTCCATGACTTGTCATTCAGTAGTAAGCAAAAAGTTCTAGTATAGGCCAGTACTATGTAATGTAAGTGGTTGGAGTATACAGTTCAACCTCGACAAAGGAAATACCTTTGGTAGACCAAGATTAGTTGATACTAGAATACTGTTGTTGTTAGGACATAACTTATGTAGAAGTTGGACTGTATTGTCAATGTTCCAACAGGGTGACATTTCATTAAAATGGGAATGTAATGTTGAATATTAAGCTCATTGTTTCAAGTACACACCATTGTCAATAACTCAATAATTGTTCACTTTTCTAGCGGCACCTTGATATACCCATGCTTCCAGTGCAAAACAAGAGCATTCAACCTTTATGTGCCATCTGATATCATCTGATGAATTGCAATGTTCACTATTCATTATGTACATGTATTTATTTTAAATTTTCCCCTAAAAATGATGAATGGATGTGTTCATATTGAAAGATAGACTAGTCCATTTAAGATATATAGCTTGTTACGGGTTAGAATGTTACTCACTGTGTCAGTAATCTTTTTCAAGGGAGCTAAAATAGTAAAAATTAGAAACTATCTGTACTTTTTTGAGTAACTTCCCTTTGGTAGGTATGAAAATACTGTCATGCCATAATTCGGCCCCAAAATCAAGACAATCAAGACATGACAATACACATTTACCATTATTAAAGAGCATATCAAAATGAACACACATGATTTCTCTTATAGGAGGATCAAGATGCTATGGAGGTTGACCTTGATAAGGACGAGATTGTGAGAGCCGAGGGCGACGAGCAGTCAGGCGAGAAGTTGTTATCTGAGTATACCACTGGTAGTGCTAAACCTCGGAAGAGGGTGAGATTTTCTTAAAATATTACATATGTCTGTCTGTTTATATGTTTATTCTTTTTATGGTTTGCCAACTAATTTATTTCTGTAAGTTAGGTTTGTTGACCTGGTATTCAAAATTTTTGAGCCTTTGACATAATACTTGTGTTTCTATAATTTAATTTAAGTTTACTGAATAATATCTTTGTACAGAGAAGGTCAATATACTGTATATACCAAGGGATTTCACAAGTTCTCATTATTATTTTGATCTGATAATGACTTTTCTGTGACAATTCTACTGTAGACAACTTCTCCCATTTGTTCTCTGGTGGTAATTGTTTTTTTCATTTTGTGTAGATTTTAGATTATTTTTATTTGAACCAGCAGGGAATTACTTGAAAAATAGATTAGCATTTTATACAGAATCTAGAAATAGATGGTTTTTTTTACATTATATACATAATCTCCCCTAGTGGCGATTATAAGGGTCACTCACATTGTAATATATGATAAAGACAAGATGTAAATGTCTCTTTGCTTATACTGATGCTCTTTTTCAAGGGAGCTAAATATTGTAAAAAATTGGAACTATCTGTACTTCTTGAGTATCTTCCCTTTGGTAGTTATGAAATGTCATAAACTGGCTGGCCCCCATAACAAGACAGTTAAAATATGTAAATACTCATATACCAATGTTAGTTGCTATAAAAAGAAATATGATTGATTAAACTTGCATTGAAAGGGTTCCACCTTTAATTAAATCAGAATGAAAATAGAATACCTCTAAAAGTGAATTATATGGGTGCAGTTGAATTTCCATGAGTTATTCAAATTTGATTCACAAACTTCTGCCTTATATGTTTTAAGTTAATATGTAGGAAGCAGACGGTAAAATATTACATCAGAAATGGATTAATGCACAGTCAATTGCTGGCTTTCATTCACTGTAGCACAGACTCATGCATGGATGTACACATTTAAAGAAGTTAAACATATCTTCAGACAAATTACTATCAACTTATTTGGCATTTCGTATATTTAAAGTCGGCTTGACAAGCAAAGTTTGGGGATTGTTCAGTCTTATGATCTCAAGATCTCATGATGATCTCTAACGATCTCAATTTTTATCAACGGAGATAAGGCATACATGTTTAAATGGTACAGGTTTGATTTGCAAAATGACAGTATTTCTTGTTAATTTGAATCAAGGGGGATAATGCATGCATATTTACTCCACTGCTGTACACAATTTAATGCCATTTACATTACAAGGCATTTAAAGTGATAATTGTGGTAATTGACCAATTATTGATTTATAATATTTATAATAAGGATAAAATATATAAACTGCCATGAAAAAAGAAAGATAAAAAAAAAAGAAACCGAAAGGAAAACAGACCAAATTCTTTTATCTATTGTTCAAAGTATACTGAATATGTGGAAAATAAAATAAATGTGTTAATGTTTTTGACATAACACAATAGTCACCTTCAAAACGGTAGTCAGGTCGTCATTCTCCCAAATGATCCAAAAACGAAAATCAAATTCCATATACTTATTGTGTTATCATTTTGGCCATAGAGTTTCAGAGATTTGGCATTACTTTTACATTATTTGCACATTTCTGCGATACTGGATAAGCACAGTGATAAAGATTTAGAAAAGAAAAATTGTGCAGCTCACCAAAATGCAAACTTCATTTTATTAGAATTGTCATGCAATAGCTGTACAGACTGAGCCATTCAGCCCTTTACATTCTCTGTTCCATCCCCCCCTCCCCCCTCTTAATAGTTATTTTCCACAATGTTCAAAATTTAATGATGTGACTGAAATCCTGTGCATATCTATTTTTCAAATGGAAAATAGTTAATCAGAATTAAACTCCATAAAATGTCTCCTGGGCATTTAGGAGATGATTTCATCAGGGTTAACTGCTTAGATTAGACTTACTGTCTATGAATAGTCATGATTATGTAATCATGTTGCTAAATTTAGTAAATCATTATTTGGTAAATGGTACAAAATTCTATATAGTTAATATTTTGTTTATACAAGTCGTTACATTATTTTGTTAATAATTATTATCATATTATTTGGCTTTCCATATAAGGTAGAGCTCTCCCATACTTAGTTTATACAGAATTTATGTAAGTTTAATTGTAAACACCACCTCCATACCTCTACTTGTTGACAGACTGTTTCAACTTTCAATATATAACCTAATTGGCAGAAATTAGGCACTGATAAGCAATTACTTTTAAAATATATCTTCAATAAGTTTGTTAATTTGTTTTGGACATTGCAATTATATGGTTCAAATTTTATTGGCTTCTGGGAAGGTATTTACTTTGGACTTTCCAATTATATGGTTCATACTTAAATGGCTTCTGGGAAGGTTTTCTGGCTGCATTTATAAATTGTCAATATACATTGTATGTTACAATGTATGTATTTCTAGGCAACTAAATAGCCTTAATAATAGCATGGTTAGTTTTGAATATTCATTAACTGAGTGTATATTAGATTAAAGGGCAGGTTTTAATGTGAGTCTTTGGGGGAAAAGTAAACATATTTTCCAGTTTATATGTACTGTGATTCCTTTGAGTTAATGGAAATAAATCAAAATTATTGATAAAGATCAATGAACCTTACTTTTATAAGTTTTTCAATCCTAATCAGCCATACTTTTTTATTAACCATTGAATATTTTCACATAAAACTTCACATAATATTATGTCATTGGGATCATAATTAAGCTAATTGTTTAAGATTCAAAATTTCAGAATGAATTTTACAGGAATATTTTTCTTTGCAAATATGATCTAAACAGCTTGCAATTTATATTTTAGTCATCACTGATGGTAATCACTTGATGTTCACAAACATGTATATAAATTACTGCCCAATAGAATTTTATAGAATTTATGACCTTCAAAATTTTCTCTTCTGCTACTTACACAAGCATAAAGAAGATTTCAAACGTGCTGTCTGTCGGACAGTTTATGTTGTACATCTTGGTTGCTGCTTGTAGTCACAATCGTGTCTGCTCATTTTTGTTTTGTGCAATTTTCAGCAGTTACCAATAGGTCTGTACTTATCAAGAAGAAAATTCTATGGCCAAGAAGACAAATGATAAAAAAGATTATTAATTCATTCCACACTTTTAAGTAGTTTGAAATTCTTTCATGTGGCTTAAAACAGTAGGGAAAACAAAAGAATAATCCACATAAAAAAAATTGTCTTACAAAAGGCATGATGACATTTTATTTTCAGTAGAAGAATACAGAGTGAAATGTCAGTTGAATGTAGCACATCAAAAATTAAAAAAGAAGATTAAAGGCCCATTATGCCTTCGGCATGCTATGATATTTGTTTAATTTACTTAAATTCAAAATCTTATTATTTTTGGTATTTTGTTACAGTTTCCAAAACATTACTAAGTTGTCATATAGATGAACTATAATTTGCTTCGGTTGCTATATTAACAGTTAGTATAATTATAGTGAAGCTATAAACTACTTTGTTTACATTTTGCTACCTTTATGACACATTGCCGCATGTTCAGCACTACTTTCTACATCTAACATGCTATAAATCTATTCTCAAAACATATTCTATATTAAACACATGTTTGGCATTTCTTAAGAATTGAAAAAATATGGGTTTCTGAGGCATTATGTGCCTTTAAAATTAGTCTTACTGAGCAAATACTTGTGGCAAAATGAATTCCTGTAGACAATTCTGTAGTTATGCCCCCATTTCTAAGAAAAGGGGGTATATTGCTTTGCACTTGTCGGTCCGTCGGTCTGTCGGTCCGTCGGTCCGTAGACCAAATGGTTTCCGAGTGATAACTAAAGAACCCTTAAGGCCTAGGAACTTCAAACTTGGTATGGTGATTGGTCATGACCAGTAGATGACCCCTATTGATTTTGAGGTCAAGGGGTCAACAGTCAAGGTCACATTGACCTTGTAAGCAAAAACAGTTTCCGATCAATAACTAAAGAACCTTAAGGCCTAGGAACTTCAAATTTGGTATGGTGATTGGTCATGATCAGTAGACGACCCCTATTGATTTTGGGGTCAAAGGTCAAGGTCACATTGACCTTGTAGGTAAAAACGGTTTCCGATCAATAACTAAAAAACTTTAAGGCCTAGGAACTTCAAACTTGGAATGGTGATTGGTCATGATCAGTAGATGACCCCTATTGATTTTGGGGTCAAGGGGTCAAAGGTCAAGGTCACATTGACCTCTTGGGTAAAAACGGTTTCTGATCAATAACGAAAGAACCCTTAGGCCTAGGGACTTCAAACTTGATATGGTGATTGGTCATGATCAGTAGATGACCCCTATTGATTTTGGGGTCAAGGGGTCAAAGGTCAAGGTCACATTGACCTCTTAGGTAAAAACGGTTTCCAATCAATAACTAAAGAACCCTTAGGCCTAGGAACTTCAAACTTGGTATGGTGATTGGTCATGACCAGCAGATGACCTATAGATTTTGGGGTCAAGGGGTCAAAGGTCAAGGTCAAATTGACCTTGTAGGTAAAAACGGTTTCAGATCAATTAACTAAAAACGCTTAGGCCTAGGAACTTCAAACTTTGTATGATGATTGGTCGTGACCAGCAGATGACCCCTATTGAGTTTTGGGTCAAGGGGTCAAAGGTCAAGGTCACATTGACCTTGTAAGTAAAAACGGTTTCTGATCAATAACTTAAGAACACTTAAGGCCTAGGAACTTCAAACTTGGTATGGTGATTTGTCATGACCAGCAGATTACCCCTATTGATTTTGGGATCAAGGGGTCAAAGGTCAAGGTCACATTGACATTGTAAGTAAAAACGGTTTCTGATCAATAACTAAAGAACGCTTCGGCCTAGGAACTTCAAACTTGGCATGGTGATTGGTCATGACTAGCAGATGACCCCTATTGATTTTGGGGTCAAAGGTCAAGGTCACATTGACCTTGTATGTTAAAACGGTTTCCGATCAATAACTAAAGAACCCTTAGGCCTAGGAACTTCAAACTTGGCATGGTGATTGGTCATGACCAGCAGATGACCCCTATTGATTTTGGGGTCAAAGGTCAAGGTCACATTGACCTTGTATGTTAAAACGGTTTCCGATCAATAACTAAAGAACCCTTAGGCCTAGGAACTTCAAACTTGGTATGGTGATTGGTTATGACCAGCAGATGACCCCTATTGATTTTGGGGATAAGGGGTCAAAGGTCAAGGTCACATTGACCTTGTAGGTAAAAAGGGTTTCCGATCATTTAACTAAAAACGCTTAGGCCTAGGAACTTCAAACTTTGTATGATGATTGGTCATGACCAGCAGATGACCCCTATTGAGTTTTAGGTCAAGGGGTCAAAGGTTAAGGTCATGACAAGTAGATACTTGATAACCCTTATTAATTGTTTGATCACTGGGTCAGAAGTCATGCATAATAACCTTATCACATGACTAATTGGCTGCTGATAGGGGGCATGCATGTTTTACAAACATATCTTGTTAGAGTAAAACTAAATCATTTATCACTGTATTTTACAGCATACAGATTCTGTAATGTCAATGCAAGGGCCGTTACAACGACCAGTCACACCAAGTTCTAGACGAGCAGTGGCTGAAATGTTGAGTCGGCCGCCAAGTCAGTCAGCAAGTCGCCCTGGCACGGGGATGAAGGACCCGACTGTAAGACCTCCCACTAGAAGTGGTAGCCGACCTGGTACACAGGAAAATGAAATGGGGGAATCTAGTAGTAAGCTGCAATAAGATTTATTTTTAATTTTTAACCCTTAACCCACTAAATGTCTTAAATGGACTTCAGCCATCTTTCAAACTGGACAAGACTGTGAAAATTTCAAAATATATACTGACAGAGTAGCAAACAGTGTAGACAATAATCAGACAAATGTGCTGAGTGATCGGTTAACAGGGGTCCCATGTGTAGATCCTGTAGTCAGCAGCAGAGTCAGGGTTAAAAATCATAACCCTTTGAATAATTAGGCACAAAGTAAGAGAAATTTTCACATGACTTTTGATTCTCGGACGGTGCAGGTCACTTTGGTTGTCATTGTTCATGAAATCCTTTGTATGGTCATTCGCACTGAACCTCTGCTCTGGTATGTATAGAAGTTATCAGTTCCTTGTGAAAGTAAAGGCAACTAGTACTAGTACACTGTTTAACAGCATGTCCGGGAATGATGCAGTGTCTGAACTGTGTTCTGGTAAATTCAATGTGGCTTACTGCCGTGATCGGGAGTGAAAACTACCAATACCACACACCACTCTTTATTATGGTTATATGGCAACTTCTCAGCTTTACAAGTTGAGGAAAATAAGATGCCCCTTCATGCATTGTTTTAGACATTATTGGGCACATGATAGAACCAACGACTTTCCTAAATATATATGAATGAATATCAGAAACTAAAATTATAACCTCAAATAAAATTTTGAGACGAAAATAAACAAGACTTTCATAAGTAGATCTCCTGTTTTCTGTTTTATGTTTATAAAGCTGTAAAAAGCAAAATTTTTTGTTTGGTTAGTTTAAAAGTTCTTTGTCTTATATAAACTATTGTTTGCAATATAATCTTCTGCTATATGAAAACAACCATTTATATTTGGCCATTTAACCTATCAAAAAAATCTTTATAACTAATCATGTAAAGGTTATATTACTTTTATGCTCAATAGGGGAGAGCATATGATTTGTAGTCCAGGGGTAGCTGGTTGGATCCCCAGTGAGGTGAAATATTTCTGTGACAATCATTCTCAGGCATCAAGTACTATTGTCATTTGTTGCTCACCCCTGAGATTAGTAGTTATTAGTAGTTACTTGTGGTGAAATTGGTAATTAATGGTTCATTATCCAGGAAACACAGTTGACCAACTGCAGAAATATGTCAAAAATGTGTAAAAATAGGCATAATAACCACACAAACCAACCTTACGGCATGTAACACAGTAGGAATATTTTTAAATAATGGTGAAATATCTGATATTTCAGGACCATCTAGCCAGAAATCTGGTAGATTGTCAGCACCAGGCCAGAAACCAAAGACGCCTGGAGCTGATCCTTATAAGGCTGCTTTTGGTTCCCGGCCTAAGATTCCACGAACCCCAGATCCTAACAGTATGAAGCGTCCGTCCAGTCGAGGCTCAATAAGCCAGATGCCTCCAGCCCCCCAGTTCTCGGAGTCAGGACCGAGACCAAGTTCTGCCGGTAAATCAGGTTAGTTTGTGTCGTTATTTCATAAATTTTTGTTTGCTCCATCTACCACTTTGTACTATATAGACTAGTCTACCTTAACATAAATATATATAACTTATAATTCACCCAAGCAATTTTTAACTACACTTTTTGAAGAAAAAAAGTTGAACTATTATCATGACCTTTGGGTGGGTGGTGGTTAACCTTTTCGTTAAGGTCCATTTTCTCAGAAACTATTAAAGCTATTCACTTCAAACTTGGTATAAATATGTATTGTCTTAAAGGGACAAAAGCAGATAATCATAAAATTATTATTTTGCAAAGTTATGCTCCTGTTTCTATCTTGCTTACATGTATCTATCAAGCACTGAGAAAAATGGAACCCACTGTCCACAGACAGATCTTGTTAACATTTTGCATAGGTTATCTGTCCTTAAACAGTTTGTATATGCAAGATAACTTCTGAAGGACTTCATTTATTAGATTGAATTAAGTTTTAAAAAATCATGTGGTTGATATCCAGTATAGTTCATGTAAGATGTTTAGAGCTGTTTTTTTTTCTTTGAATATTGAATTTCTGCTATTGAAAGAGATGAAAGAAAGAATAATATTTATACAGAAAAAAAAATTCTTTGAAGTTAAGGAAGATGTACACCTGCACTGCAGTTGCTGGATTTTTGTTTTGTTTATTAATGAGATATAATCTTTATTCACATATTCACTCAAAGCAGACATAGAAATATTTCATTTTATAGCTAATTTTCAATATATACATAATTGTTACTGAGAATAGCTGAGTTCACTGGCTTACAGACAGTTCTTGCTTTAAGTGTAACTTTGATATTAGTATTTTATATATAAGTGTGCATTTTTATCTTTGTCTTTAATTCTTATCTACATCATAGGACAATAATTTTTGTTAGTTTGTGGTAAGTATTTAGATATTTCTTGTATTGAATATTTGTGCTACCTAAGCATGAGTTGAAAGCTAAATATTTTTATTTTATTTACTGTAGAACTGTAATAGTTTTAGTTTACAAGTAAGTGTTTTTGTTAGTTTTCTTGTTAAAGTTTTCTACTTTCAGTTTATTTTTGTCTTGGGTGTACTTATTACCTGCCTTTTATTTATATTTTCAAGAAGAAACAGTCATAATTATCAGTTATTATTATGGCATATTCAATTAAGCTAATCCTAACCACACTATATATGAGCCGCGTCATGACAAAACCAACATAATGGGTTTGCGACCAACATGGATCCAGACCAGCCTGCGCATCCGGGCAGTCTGATCAGGATCCATGCTGTTCGCTTACAAATCCTGTAACAAGCAGAGAAACTGATAGCGAACAGCATGGATCCTGATCAGACTGCCCGGATGTGCAGGCTGGTCTGGATCCATGCTGGTTGAAAACCCATTATGTTGGTTTTGTCGTGATGCTGCTCATATTATAAATGGACTTGCCCATCTTTTCAATCTGGATAAAACCATTTATCATTTTATGGTGAAATATCAAAATATACACTGAGCAAAAGCAAACAGTGCAGACCATGACCAGGCAGAATGGCAGACTGACCGTGGTCTGTACTGGTGGCGTAAGTAGAATCTGTTATGGCAAGCAGACTTAGAGGTGACAAACAAACACCCTTTTGGTTTGTGACCTATATAGTACAGATGAATAAATCTGAAGAAAATCATGTTGATCAAAATCTGGATAAAAGCGATCTCTCAGAAGCATTAAAAACAGCAAATTTACATGAAAATTGCAGACTCGGTTTGATTGAATCTGTACATGAGGGATAATGAAAAAGTGCAACATCCCTAATGTCCCCACCTAGCACTGGCTTGAGTGGTACTCAAACCATAATTATAAATGGAATTTATATTAAATCAGTATGAAAATAGAAAACTATCAACCTTGCTATATAATGTAGTAGAATAAAAGTGAAAATTAAACATTTTAAAATAAAAGTTTATTAAAATTGTGGTTTTGCTCTAAGAAAATATGTTGATTTACGAAGTTATATATAAAAATATTTTAATTCTAATTAATTAACATTGGTAACATAATTATATTGATTTTCTAAAGAAAAGATCCTCTGAATAATTAACTGTGTGTGTGGGTTCTTTTTCCCCCTATAAAAGTACTTTTAAAATTTCAAAATATCTGATAAGTGTTTATGGGAACAGGGTCATGTCAAGGTTTCTAGAATATTTCTATGTTGAAAGTGGTTAAATGATAGCAAAATTTATGATAGCAGTATGTTTTGGGTTTTTGTATTTCAAATATAGCTATAATTTATATAGATAGGCCTAGCATGTCACATTTAGCCACAAAAGGTCATTCATGATAATATCATGTCACATGACCACAAAAGGTTTTTCTTGATAAAGTGATAAAAAAAACATTTTTCACTGATCCAAAACAAAATGATGATAAACTTGCAACAAATGACCATGCAAAACATGACAGAAAAACAACATGTCATACTTTATCATGAAAGGTCACAGAATATGTCTCATATAAAGATTTCACTCTAGACAATGCAAAATCACACCCACCAACATGTTATATGTGACATCCTTTAGTTACAATAAATAATCTTAACCGGATCCGGTGTGACGTAAAACCAAAAACAAACAAACTTAACAGGATCTATATAAAATAGGGAAAACAGATTATAGACTAAATTTTTCACAAGCTTAAGGAGGGATGCATTGATTTAACCATGAGCAAGTACACTTATTACAATATTGGCCAAACTAAGATAAAACAAGAATAGGGAAAAACACACAAGTAAATAAGTCAGGTTACACTTTACCAAGAATATATGTGAAGCCTAAAAAAAATATCTGTCTTGACCAAAGATTACACTGTTCCTGAAAATAGGTTTCTGTTCATTTTAGGACTCAAAACTTTTGCCAGAGTAAATGTTTTGGTGATGTTTGAGCAAAATCTTTATTTATGGTAAAAGGTGTTGTCAGAAACTAGGCAAATGTGTTTTTTTTTCTTCAGTGATCCCAGTACAAACAAACTTTCATCATTTTAGCTTAACCGTGCTTATAAAAAATAAGTCAGGCAGTTTGGTTATATTTGAAGTAGTAACGGTAATTGTAAAAGTTTCTTTGTACCCCCAGGATTAGTATTCTTTATTCTTGAGTATTAAATCTATATTCATAAATATTTTTCATACTTGTATTTTTTAATACTTTTAGAATAGATTGAATGGTAATGTAATGGCTGAATCATATTTAACATGTTTAAGCTTCTAATAGTTTTGTCTGGTGTATTCATTATTTTTTTCATGACCAATAGTTTTTATTGGGAAAAGACAGCCATATCTCATGTTCTCCATTTTTTTTATTCCATTAATCAGGGCTTCCATTAGTGGAAGTTTGGGAGTCATTTACTTTTGATTTTGGCTTGTGACTTCCAAAATATAACCCTTTTCCTTCTTTACATTATAATGTGACTTTCAGCCTGTTAGACATTTTTCAATATCTTTGATTCCGAATTTTGGCACTTATTTAATGGAAGCCCTGATAAATGTTTTGAAATAGTTTAAGACAAATATTTCTCTGGTAAATAATCATGGATTGACAGGTATTATAAAAGTAAAACATAATATTTTCATCGAAATCATTAAATTTTATTATTTGTCTGTGCAGAAATTTTACATTAGATATTGTTTTCGCTATTTAGATTGGACAGGTTATGAGAGCATGCCGGTATTTGATTTTAACTTTATTTCCTGTGTTTTGATTTTATAATACCTGGATATATTCACGTCCTTTTTTTCACAGACACAAATATAACAGTGTATTATTCTTCACAATTGTAATGTTGTTTTTCATTGGATAATTGTGTCATTTTTAGAAACTATCTACATAGCTGCAGTCAAATTATGAAATAATGTCTTTCTTTTTTTTTCTCAAATAAAGGAAGTTTGCTGTATTATAAAGTTGTTTTAAGATTCTTGACCTATTGTATGGTTGTATATAAATGGTTGTTTTTAATATAACAGCACAGGTTATGTATACAAACAGCCTTTTATATACTTAGGTCCATATAACCTGTTAGAAATCTTTATGACTAATATACTGTTTATATAACTTAAGATTTACAGTATGAAAAATATATATATGTTCATGTAATAAACGATATACCGGTACTATAATAATTTATTTGTCCACATTATGTGCTAAAATAGGCTGCACTGCAATGTTTCCCTTTTTCATTATGATTTGTATGTTTACATTGAAAAATGTAAAGTTATGAAACCATTATTTGTCACTAACAGACTTGGTGTTGATTTTACTTTTATAAAGATTCATTCTTAGCTAACTTGAAGGCACCTGTTCCTAATATGTGACAGTCTGATGGCAGGCATTGTGCAATCACCCTTCATTATAATTTTAAATTTGTTCAAATTTTTTTTGTAAAAAAAAAAGAGAAAAACTTAGAAATAAAAGTGCCAGTCACCGGCAGTCACTTTATGACCATTTCTGTATAAGTCGTTGACTTCAAAACACTTGCCCCTCACTGCTGTGGGTTCAAATCCCGACAGGGACTTTGGATTTTTCATGTGAGGAAGCTATCCAGCTAGCTTACGGAACGTCGTTGGTTCTACTCAGGTGCCCATTCATGCCTGAAATAATGCACAGAAGGGCACCTGAGGTCTTCCTCCACCACTCCACCAGTAAAGCTGAAACGTCGCGATATGACCTATACTATGTTGATGTGATGTAAAACCCAAACAAACAAACAAAATATCTGTATAAATCTTACTTGAAAGTGTCATAAATATAAGAAAAAAGTTAATAACAAAAATCAGTATTTAGTGCATGCTATTTTCTTTTTCCGCAGGTGGTGGAAGTATAAGTCCCAGAAAGGCATCAGCTGGCAGTGGAAGAGGAGGGGAAACTCCAAGATAATTTATGACATTTTAAAGAAGATTCAGAAAGTGCATTTACAGCTGTTGTACTATTAGCAGATTTTACAATATTCAATGTTCTTTTACTCAATGTTCTTTAACTTCAGCTGAAGGATTTAGTCAACTAAATTTATTAACCCGTATAGTGCTAGCAACATCATTTACTTGTTTATAGTCAGTCCAGTCTGTATATACAGGCCAGCAACAACATGCATGCAGTCTGATGAAATTGTAAACTGCTTTTGTTCAATTTCATCATTGTGATAGTTAGTTACCTCAAAGCTAACATTGGACAGTTCTGTACACAAAGCAGGACCAATTTATAATGAATTTAGCCTGGTAGGGTACCTGTTACTTTAAAAAAATTATTTCATAAGTTTACAGAATCATTGAAAAGTGAAAGGTAAATTGTGAAGTCAATGTGCTGTAAGTTATCATTCAGAAGTAATAAAGAACTATCCTTTGAGAGTGTTTGAACTATCCTTTATCAAAATATAATCTTGGAAATCAATATAATGATAATTTATTGTTTAATGAGATAATGTACTTGTACTTGAACATATCAAGTGAATATATACATACATATCGTTTGAATAATTATGTTAAAATAAAATTATACTTTAAACATACATGTGTATTTAACAGACAGACATAGGAAATGAATCTATTTTTTTCGACTTACTCTCATATGTTTGCAAAATTTTAATCAGTCTGATATTACTGATTTGTTAAATAGGACATCAAGCTTTAAATTGACCAATCAAACTGTCTCATTTATCTGTAAGGTCAATATTTTTTCAGGATGAACTACTGAACTTTCCCTCCTGTTTATTATTTTTAGGACAATTTCTGCAGTTTTTATTTTACAGAATAAAAACTGTTTCATGTTTTTTTTAAGAATATTTTAAAGTTTCAGTGATCTGGCATTTTGTTTATAAATTGGAATTATTGTTTATTCTATATAATTATATCTGTTTGAAATCTGAAGTAAATCTTCTTATTACATGTTTTATGTATGACTTTTTTTTGCTTTTTATGAATAAATGTACACTAACGTGTTAGTTTTTGTAGAATAAGATGAAGTCTGTGATATAATACCATTTTAATGGTAGTTTTGATTCTCATTGTTGTTTGGCACACTATTTATTTATGAATTGTGTATAAAGCTATTAGTTCACAAAATTTATCATTGAACTTGACAAATATGGGATTTTCTTATCCTAGCCTAGGGATACAAGAAAAAAAAGTTTTATGATGCACTTTGCAGCATTGCCATTCCTTAATTTGTGATCAACCGGTCATACATATTATCAAATATTCACCAAGTTGTTAGTGAAAAAAGTTTTTATTTTACCCCTGGATTTGGGGTAGGGGTTGGGGAGGAACCCACATATGTCAAGCGTTGGAGTATCTGTTTTATATCATGTTTGATTATGATCAGGCAATTGTTTGCCTAAATTCTGGTGATACCTCGCCCAAAAGCTGGTTTGTGAGCTGTTCCTAGGCTATATTTCAGCAAGTAGAAAATCTTCTTACTTCCCAGTGAAATATATTTCATGTCTTTTTAAAAGAAACAGATCTCATTATTTTTTATTAATGGATAACAAGATACTGTATGGTATGACATGCCTAATATTGTTTGATCACTTGAAATTTCAACACGTTTTATTTTTATTTTTGACATGATGGGACTGGAAATAATTTGAGCCGCGTCACGACGAAACCAACATAGTGGGTTTGCGACCAACATGGATCCAGACCAGTCTGCGCATCCGCGCAGTCTGATCAGGATCCATGCTGTTCGCTTACCAACCCTTTTACAAGTAGAGAAACTGATAGCGAACAGCATGGATCCTGATCAGACGGCGCGGATGCGCAGGCTGGTCTGGATCCATGCTGGTCGCAAACCCATTACGTTGATTTTGTCGTGACGCGGCTCATTTTTTGAGGTTTATGTTCCAATTGATGTAGGTCATATATTTCAAGGCCTTAGGACCAATCCGAATCTCCTTAAAAGAATTTCAAATTATTTGATAATAATTTTTTTTTCTATTTATAGAATCTAGATACAAACAATTATCATATATTTTATTTAGTTATTTAGCAATCAGTTAAATGTTTTATGATTATTTTTACCAGTAACTGTTGTTTACCTTACAAGATCTAAATTTACCTTTGACAAATTATGTAAATTCCCAAATATAGTTTAAAATGATTTATTTAATAATTATATTTATTTTTTATACTGATAATTACTGTAATTGAAACTATTCTTTCCATTTAACTAAATAATGTTTAAAAAGTAACACAATCGTTATGAATTTTTATTTGTTATTAAAAGAGGATATTTTTAATTTCTCAAATGTTTATGAATAAATCATACTTTTTATTATGGCATTTAAGATGAGTTCTGTTGATTCATATATGAATAAAATCGTGTCAGCATGAAAATATTGTATTCTTATTCTTACAATTGTGAGATTTTTTAATTGCAAAATTGTAGTTGTGAACTTTGTTATTATTTGTGACATGCCTATTTATTCTTAGCATTGAAATAAATAGTTAACTATCCATGGGTTTTTGTTTTTATTAAACGCTTGGTTTCTTCTGGTAAATTACGCTCCCTTCGCAGCTTACTGAATACACTCCCGTTACCTTAGACGAAGTAAGAAGTGAGCGTTAGTGAAACATTCGACCGATGCGCAGGAGAGTACTAGTAAATGTGTGATAATTTATACACCTGTGTTTCTTCTGTAGGTATCATTTATTACCACAAAATTTGCTACAGACGGTTTTTCGTGAATTTTTCTTAATTAAGCCATTGTGCTCTATTTAAGATTTATGTCACTTACAGGGAAACATTTCATGATAGGTTACATGTATAGCATCTGCTTGAACATTTTTGCTGATAAATAATAACTGTCTGTTAGTAATTTCACGGTTGCTCTGTATCTATTAAACCGCTGGAAGGGAAGGGAAGAGTGTAGGGTTGACCTTTATCAGGCAAGGTCGCAATTGGTCGTTATGTATTTAAATTTCAAACTGTACCTTTTGAACAGACTGAAAGATAGCAAATTGTTTGGCAAACATTTACTTATAGTAAAATGATGTCGGGATCTCAGGTTTGTATTTACTCAGATCAAAATTGGCCCGTCGCGGGGTCACTTGCTTATTAAATTTTGAAATCACGTAAGTCTTATTATGACTGAAACTTCATTGTCAATAGTATATTTGACATACAACATTTCCCTGTAGACCTCTACATAACTCATATTAAACATTCTCCTCGGGTCAATATTTGCCTCGCAGCTGGGTGTTTGTTATTTAATAAAGACTTACGTAGGAAAACATATTTAGATTTCATTGTGGAAATTTCAATGTCCAGAGCATAGATATTTTTTGCCTATGGGGTGACTTTATACTAGAACATCGATATATGTATTATAGCATTGCCTTGTGAATCTCTACAAAACTGATTTTGATCATGCTCATTGGGTATAAATTGGTCCCATCCCAGGCGTCAATTGATTCATATAGAATTATATAGAAAACACATTTAAGTCTTATTGTGTGAAACTAAAATGCCCAGAGCAAAGATATTTCCTTGTTGACCGTTACAAAATTGATACCAATCATGCATGCTCCTTGTTTCAATATATGCCCATAGTATAGTTTTGTAGGGACTTTGTCTGTGGCCAGTAGATGACCCGAAATGGTCTTGAAGTCATTGGGTCAATAATTTGGGAGAAATATGCCAGTGATTGTGAGAAGTGGTACTGATTAGCCCATGATCAATTGATCGATTGCGTTTTCTATATTTTGAAGTTTTAAGGTCTGTTTGAAGTTGTTCGAAATACTTTGTTGGAAATATCGAAGAATTGGAGGCCCGGAACGCAGGACAATTAAAGTAAAGGAATGGAACGCAGGGCGGAAATATCTAAAAATTGGAGGAAGGGTTGAACGAAGGACGTAAGCATTGAACTAGCGCATAGCAAACAGGAATAACTTATATAAAGATTAATCTTAAACTATTTTGTACGTACTTAATCACTTGTAAAGTTGTGTTTCCGGCATTTTCATAATAAATGTTGTATATGAATCAGTCTTGAATTTTAGAATGATAATGTTTTAAGGAAAAAAGACATAAACATTCAGAAACGTTTAAATATTTGAATTACTGTATGCTTATGTAATCATGAATTATACGGAATGCCGTTAGGGCCATTGCCTAAGAATGTGTTGATCTGAAACGCGATAGTACGATGATGAAAACGCGAAATCACGAAACTACGATGGTGAAAATGCGAAAGCACGATGGTGAAAACGCGATAGTTTATCGCGTTTTCATCATCGTAGTATTGTACTGTCGCGATTTCATCTTCGTACTATCGCGTTTTCATCATCGTGCTTTCGCGTTTTCACCATCGTAGTTTCGTGATTTCGCGTTTTCACCATCGTACTATCGACTATCGTGTTTTAGATCAACACATTTATAGGCGATGGCCCTAACGGCAATCCGTAGAATTATGATTGTAAAATCCTGACTTTGTCAAACATTGAATGTCAGACAATTTTCCGAATACCCAATTTACAAGCTTTCAAGTTTATTTGACTTTCTAACATTGTGTTCTTCATGGCTGTATTTTGTGCGCGAATGTGCTTTTTAGTCGATATTTAAGGAAATTATGAAAGTTTCTCGTTCGCGTAATTTACACGTCATATATATTTACTCTAAATAGTTCAAAAAGGACGTTATGTTAACATATATAGCAACAATTACGTCGCATATTGCATTGATCAAAACAATTACATGCCACCTTTGCTTTTAATTAGCAGGAAAAGCAGCAACAAAAATCAGATGACGAGCCGTTCTGGGTGAAAAATAAAGTTTATTACAGCAGAATCTATAAGGTACGTGCCGTATTTCAAACAGCAACAACAAAAACAGTAATCATAGATAATAAAACAAAGACATTTTAATGAGAATACTTATATATTTATGATAAATACTTGACACTTACTTTTTGTACTTTCACTTATGTATTTATGTTTTATATTTAATATATTTCTTCCATATTGTCTATGCACGATTGGTTGATGCGTCATTCGTGTCTCATTTTTATAGCGCACGCCACAATTATGGGAAGCCTTGTAATTGTGTAATACTGAACGTATTTTGCCATTGAAATGTAAAATTTCTTCAGCGTTCTTCTTCAGCCTTGTGCTGGCAGAGGGCATCCACGGTAGCCTTTAATTACATAACCGTCTCTGAGCAGGTTCAATCAAAACGGGACTGTATTTTTGTTCGATTTAGGTGTTCTTTAGGGATTCCGTAAAATATCTCTACTTTTTAATAACATTTGCTTATTGCCCTCTCTTTTTGTGTGAAACTCGAAATAGTCCAACTTTAGAACTGCACGAAGGCATGAAAGTAGTATGCTTTTGTAGATTTTACCACTTTTGTTA